AAGTTACAATTACTTCAGTTAGTTTTTTTTAAATATACACATTTAAATAGTGGCTGTCATAAAAACTTGGACGGATTTATTCAAACATAAATAAAACATTAAAGAACAGTAAAAAAGTATAATAAATATGTTATATGGTGCATATATTTAGCAAAATGCCCCTCTCTACAGTTTATTTTTCAGGTTGACTAACGAGTTTATTGTCACTGAATATGCTTTCTGAGGTAAATGTGACGTTACATTAATTGTTTACAAGATGTTATATTGACGTCTTTGCGCGGCTGAAACACCGATTGAGAGATTACATGAGACAGGATATGGATTGTAAAGTTGTACTCTTTCTTTTAACTTACCTTCAGATGTTTAGTCATGTTTATTTTGTGCAGAAGCTGGTATTAATGTGGAGGAGATGATCAGTTCACGTGCGCCTCGCGCCAACAGACTTTTGTCTGTTGAACTGAGGAGTTACATGATCGGTCACTCCACATTAAACAGCGCCAAAATGGCATTTATTGTTTAAATACTGTAATACAATGGACATAAATTGAAATCTGAGACTTTGTTTCATATTAAAAGTACCAACGCACAGTGCTTATTGCGATATATTGGATGGGAGGTGTGCTTTAATGTTTCGTCCATTAACTGAAAACAGGCTAGACTAATCGATTCTTGGGATTTAAGAATCAATATTGTTTCGTAAAAACGAGAATCGATTAAAATCGAGATATCAACATTTTTTACCCAGCCCTACATTAAACTATTATTAAACAGTGGAGACAGTCATAATAGCGTGGGGAAAAAATCTAATTAACATCGACATATGATATCTGATACATTTCAATTCAATTGTGGATTTCATGTCATTATATCAACTCGTCTTTGTGTTATTCCTGGATTTCAGATATTGTTGAGAAACAAATCAAATCTAATCAATCTGTAAATATATGCATGTATAAATATATTTTATTTTGATTGCATTACTTTTTGTCTAGTAAAACGTTATAAAATCAAGCTACAAAACCTCAAAACAACATGAAAAAATCATTGAAACAACAGGTTGGACCATAACAGGGTGGACTGCATTCACCTTTAAATGGCGTAAGTGACACCTATTTGTTTAAAATAGATATAAAGTCAAATTTGAGTCCAACCAAAATGTGTAATATAATTTTAAAAAATTGTTTTTCTTTTTAACCATTCCATTAGAATTACATCCAGTTGTAACTTGTACTGTAAGGGGCCGTTCACACAGAACACATTTTTCTATTCTAATGCGCTACTTTTCCATTGTTTTTCTATGTAAACGCACTAGGTGACTGTTGCGCTCACGTCTCGCACACGAGCACCGCGTTTTTAAGATGCCATGCCAAGTTAAAAGAATTGAAAATTTCACACATCAATCTTAGATTCAAAACTGTGGACCAATCAGAAGACCCCGGAGGCGGGGCAAGCGTTGCGAGCTTTTGTTTACAGTGGCAAGTTGGCACGGTTTATTTGATGGCAACATGATGGAAGTTTTCTGTGCTACACTTAAAAAAAAAAAAAACATTCCTGAGCACTGCGTCTCGCATTTTTAGATACAATGATGCATTCAGTGTGAATGGCCCCTAAGAATGACCCAACAACTGTCAGAAGATGCGTCATGAAATTCATCCCCTTTAAAGAATAACATCACACTATCATCCATTAAAGCAGAACATTTGTAACAAACTCATGACCTTCAACAATAAAAATTAAGAGAATTATAGTAAAACATTTAAATTGTAGGAATCTGTACACATTCAGATGTGTTTGGCTGTTATTTTGTCCCTATTTCTTTTCAGCGACTCACGCCATGAGCATTTTTGAAAGATAACACATTAAAGGGTTACTCCACCCCAAAATGATAATTTTGTCATTAATCACTTACCCCCATGTCGTTCCAAACCCGTAAAAGCTTTGTTCGTCTTCGGAACACAATTTAAGATATTTTGGATGAAAATACCAGGAGGCTTGTGACTGTCCCATTGACTGCCAAGTAAATTACACTGTCAAGGTCCAGA